TCTAAAAACCCATAACAAATTTGCTTAATAGTCAGAAAACATTGTAATTTTTATTATTATTATTATTATTATTATATATAATAAAACGAAGTCCACAATTTTTTTTTTTTTTTTTTTTTAATCCAATTGATCCAAACCTAAACCCGGAACCATGTGAGAACTCACCGCTCCTCGCGACGCTGTGTGTCTGCCGGTGTGTCGGGCCATCAATGGCGGATTCGAACCCACCTCTTTTGGGGTTTTGATGGCTTTGCCGTCTTCTTTTATTGCCAGTTTCTCATTTGGAATTGACTAGGTTGCTTTACGGGTCCCCTTTTGGTGCGTGTCTTCTTCTTCTTAAACACTTCATCTTTTGCTGCAGCACGTCACCGTTTTGTTACTGTTTTACTTTTTTCTCCTTTGGGCCACTTCTCTTGTTTTGTTTTGGGATCTTGTCAATGTGTTTCTTTGAATCCCATTTCACATCTTCCCCCGCCCCCTTCTCTTCTGTTGGTCAATTTGCTTATCCCAAACTCTTATCTACTTTCCTATTTTGATTTATCATCACTACTTTAAACTATATAAAATATCAAATTTTTTATAAAATTATTAAAATTATACTTACATACTTTATTTATAAATTTTCACTTAATTTAACAAAATCAAGTTAATAATTATTCAAAATTTTTTAAAAACCAAAAAAAAAATAGTCAAAATAACAATATAAGTATGAATTCAAGTTAGGTCTCTTGTAGACTTACTTGCAAAAAAATATATATATATATATATATTTTTATCCCGATCCAATAAAATTTTTATAATATAAAATAATATTTACTCGACTTTATATAAAATTTTATTTAAAATAAACTCGTAATCTAACATAATTCTAACTGTATTTATTTATTTCAAATAAAGTATGAATTTTTGTTAAGATAATTTCTTACTCCCATATGTTTTTTTTTTTATTTAGAATTCTATTATTATGTTCTTATATTGAATTTTAAATATACACTTATTAATAATATGTAAGTACTAATTATTTTAATTAATATAATAAATTAAATATGTTTACCATAATTATTTTTATGCAAAATTTCAATTTTCATACATTGTTATAATGTTTATCGGTACATTTATTTTCATTTCAATAACTAATTTTTTAGTATGATATTAACTTTTTTAAGTGACTAATCATTATTTTTCTATTTTTATAAGATACTATGATTTTTAGTCGAAGTATATATTTGTATATGTATTTATTAATAATTATCATATAATTAATATACGTGCCTTAATGTATAAATCTTTATTTAAAAAATATTATCCAAGTATAGTTATATATAATATAAATACATTAAAAAAAAAAAAGAGAAGCATTTGGGAATATTCTTTGCCATGTGCAATATATATACATATATATATATATACGTATATAGTTTATTTTTATGTATATGTTTGGGTCAACTTCGGTGGCGTAATTATTTTCGTTATTTATGCATGTGGAATATGATTTGTCACGTACCAAAATAGATACACAGATACATACAATTTTTAATGCGTACTATAATTTTAATACAACTAAATTTATTAATTCTTTTACCAACAACGTATGATATAAGGTTTTTCATTAAATAGTTGATGACCCCAAGTTTAAATATTATTTTCTACAACGTTTTAAATCGAATTTTAAAAATTATAAATTTATCGGGTTCGTATTATTATTTTATTTTTACACTCAAATTTTTTTTTTTTTTTTTTTGGGAATTTCATTGTTTTTCATTTTTCAGTTCTTCAAATAAAATTATATAAATTTTAAATATATAAAATTATAATATAAAGTATGTAAATTTTAAAAAATAATTTACACGAGGTGTCAAATCAAGAAGCTAAAATGGAGATTCCATGAAGACCAAGAAAATTAAAATTGGGGGGGGGGAAACCTTTAGAAGTGGGTCTCCTTTTTATAATTATTGCTTGGGATTTGCCATCAAAACAACTCAATATTTCATTCTCATAGCTGGATTATTCTACCAATAACTTAATTTTTTTTTTCCTCATTTAATTATTTGGGTATGTATCTATACATACATACATACATATATTTGGGTGGGTATATATATATATGTACATATGTTTATTTATTCAGGTAGGTAACCCTACAAACAAACATTAAGCAGAGTTCCATATGGGCACTGTTCCCTGTAGATAGAGATAATAAAAGTACTGTGTGAGATAAAGCAGATGGGTCTGTCTTCTGTAGTTTTATTTTTATTTATTTATTTTTTAATGTTTTTATTTATATATTTTGTTTTAATTAATTAATTAATAATTATAATAAAAATGATTGGAGAATTTTTTTAAAAAATATATAAATAAAACCCAAATAATATGTACATTCAATTTTTTAATTTTTCAAAATAAATAAATAAAGAAACCATTCCTTGTCAATATAAAGTTGTAAATGACATTAAAAGATAGAGGATATGATTATGGATTGACAAAATATTTTGTCTTCTTATATGTTGTCCTTATATTTCTTCACACTAAATTTATCACTTGTTATAATATAATATAATATATTTTATAATAAAAAAATTAAAATTAAAATCGCTTGAATACTTTAAATAGTAAATTTGGTTAATTAATTAAATTAATAACAATATTGGGTTTTTTTTATTATGAAATAAAAAAAATAAGAAAACTAATGAATATTATTTGTCATTTGATTCCTTGCTTTTAAAATATATTAATTTCTTATAGACATTCATGTATTAATCATAAGATTCTTTGAATTTGATTTTTTTTCTAACCCAACATCTACTTATTGTTAATGCAATATCATTTTATTAAGATATGATTTAATTATATAAATAGTTGTAACTCTTGTTACACAAGTCTTGTGTTGATATTTAAAAAGATATATATATATATATATATGTACATTTCACTTTTTATCTTATATTATTTCTAATGAATTTATAAACAAAAAAGTAAAAGGGAAGCATTGAGTTGATTTGATTTATGATAATGAGATTATTCAATTCAACTTTTTTACTTAACCCTCATCTAATAATGAATTAAACATGAGTATTTAGATTAGCATCTCTCTATCAAATCAAAGATACTTATCTTTAATCCCATCATTAAACCCATTTAATTAAACAACTTTTACTATTTCTTCTCTACATTTGTATATCAAAATTTACTAATTATGTAAACCCATTTAGTTTAAATTTCTATTAAATTCAAGACAAATGGGTTATTTTCTTGATAAATAATAATTGATTTATATCCCTTAAGTTTAATAATTTAATTATTTTTTTTAACGAACTCTTCGGATTTTTTTTTTATTTTTATATAATTTTTTTTTTTGGTGTATCGGGTTATATTATTTATTATTTATTTGTATTAGGGTTTTTTTTTTAATTTGATTAGAAAAAGTCAAGTAACTTTTATCAAGCACAATGATTTCTTTGACCTAAATAAATGATTTGGAAATAATCTAACTAAACTTTTTTTTTTTGTTTAATTTGTCAAAGATTCTACCAATTTATATGATTCTCCATTAAAAGAATTAATTTTTTAATAAGTAAATTCCTAAAAAATACAGTGTTTGACTGCCTGTTCGTGGTCCCTTCCACCTCATATCATCAATTAAATATATATATATATATTTTCAAACAAAAAAATTGTAATTACATATATATATATATTTTAATTTGATACCCCCACAATTAAACTTTATTCTCTTCTGTCCCCCACTATCCTTTTCGACTTGTCCCTTTTCGAGCCTCTTGATATTTCGTACCACACCATACCCAACTCCCAAAATTCCAAATGCAACGCCGTTTTGACCGTCTCATCTTCTTCCCTTGCACCAAACCCAAACCCAATTCAAAATTTACATTTTTACCGTGAGTAAATTCCTAAAAAACTTGTACCGTGAGGTAAAAAACAATTATTACTAGTTTAGTAAGTTAAAAAAATAAAAAAATAGGAGCTTACCCCTTAAGAAAAAGTGGGTAGTGTGACTGGTATTTGTCGGTCATCGGTCAATCCACCTATTAACTTGGAAGGACACCCTAAACGTCCAAAAACTACAACTTTAAGTGGCTTGTGATAAATGAACACTAGGAGTTGTACGCACGTGCAAAGTACACAAGTCATTAGCGTCACACGTGTGCGCGACCACACGAAAGTCAAAACTCAAGACACCCCGGTCAAACTTGGTTTGTTTGATGAGCCTGCTGCAGCTGCTTAATAATAATAATAATAATAAAAAAAATCAGCCAATCCAAGTGGGCTCCACGCTTTGCGCGATCGAGGTGGGCTCCACCTACACGCTTGCCAGCCAGTACGCCAATTTAATTTTCTTCATTTCATAATTATTCGTGCAAAAATATATATATTTTTACTATTTTTAAATATTTTAATTTTATTTTATAATTTGTTGTATTTATTAATTTTACACATACATTTACTTCAATCATATACATTCATGCATTACTAAATTTACATTGTTTTTATATTTGATTGTCAATAGTGAATTTTAAAAAATATATTTTTTTATTAACAAATAAATTATTACATAAATTAAAAATTAAACTTTCGACTAATCCTTCGTCCAACACTAACAGAGATGTAATACGATTAGTGATTAATATTTTATGTTTAATTAAGTAAATTTACACATAATTTTTAATTTTTAAAAATAAATAATTTTACATATTTTTAATTTAATTTAATTATTTTAGATTATCACAAGTCATTTATTATATTTTTTTTATATAATTTTGACAATATAAAAAATTAAGAAATTATTTTTTAAAAAATAATAATAAATTAATTAATATTCCAATACTATAAATTTTTACAACATAATTGGCAATAACATCTTTGTATTATACAAGTAATGAGTCTCGTATAAGATTTTCTTTTTAAAAAATTATTTTTATCATTATTCAAACACATCATAATTTTGTATTATTATTACTCATGAACTCATTAATTTATAAAAATAAAGTCGATAATATTTAATAATAAGAGTACATTTTAGTAACATTGAACACGTAAATGTATTTCATACTTAAAAAAAAAAATATCCAATTGTGACATTTCAATTAAAATAAACTTAACATTCACGAAATATTTATTTTATTAATAAATATAGTCAATTCAATAAAATTATATACATTTAATCAGTGTAATTTTACGTAATATATGTATATTATTAATAATATAATTAGTCTACACGAACATATATAAAATATACAGTTTAATTTAAATATATAATATAAAAATATATTAACAAAATTACCCGTTAAATAATTGTTAATTATATTATAATATAGTTAAAATATATAATTTGAGTAGTTTTATAAAAGGGAAATTAGGTATACAATGTTGACAAATTCCCTATTTAAAGGGATATAAAGCATAAACCTATATAGCCCCATATCACTAGGAGCTTTTAGTAGAAATATAATTGAGTGGTACCTAATTGATATTGGCATTTGCTTTTTGTAGTTCATGGCCAAATCAATTCATATTTATCTTTCACTTTAAAAAATATATGTCAATTATATGCTATAACTATATATGCCTATTAATATAGGATGGTGACCGGCACATCAAATGACTATGAGTACCTATAGATATAGGACCCAATTAACCATAGGGTATGTTTGTATAGAGGAGAATGAGAGAAAAGGGAATGCATTTGTGTTTTCTAGTATGTGTATATATATATATATATATATGTATAGATATATATAGGAGAGATTGAATTCTCTACATATTTCCTCTTACCCAAGTAAGATATTTGGTGTAATTTTTATAAAATTTACTTTAAATAAACATTATACTATAACTATAGAGTAAATTGTCAAATTAATTTTTAAAATTTGTTACTCATTATATTATAACTATGAAAGTTAATTTTTTAAATTAAATGAAAATGGTGACGGTAAATTGTTAAAAAAAAAGTAAAATTTACTCGTGAGGGTCAAAATATATACGAAGCATCTTATTGGAAATTATATAATTGTGTTATATCTATCTATCCACGACCTATGGTTATACACATTCTTCAAGTTTTTCCTCAATTTCAGCAATAGAACCAAATCTTATATACCAACTAACTCCTCTCCTATATATAGATATAGTCATTTTTATTTATTAATTTAAATTACTTTTTTTGGGTATATGATTAATTACGTGTTAGATTTGGAACAAATAAATTTCAATTTCAATTTTTATAAGTAAAATTATACGAATCATACCCATATTGTTTTTATAATAATAAAAATTAACTCATAATATATACAAGTAAAATTTATAATCATATAACTTAGTGCATAAAAAGTTAGCTTTCGTATTTGTGTAGTGGAGTGGTTGTCTTCATAATTATTATTATTAAAAAAGTAAAAAGTAAAGATTATTGCTTGATTGTTTAATTTAATAAATAAAATATTTATAAAATTATAATATAAATTTACCGAGTGTGAAAAAAAAAAGTAAATTAAGATACATATTTAACTTTAAATAAACATTTAACATATGATTCAAATACATATAAAATGGTAATATTAATTTACGAATCGAACCCTGAATTTGTTAATCATCTATTTTTAAAGTGCAGAACACGAATTTTTTTTTTTTTTTTTCACACGAATTTAGAAATTGAATATAATCATAAAAGAAAAATGCTCGGTTGATAAATAACTCAATTATTGATTCTATTAATCATCGTCGCGCACACGAGTAAGATAAAAAGAAGAGGTATTTGATCCCAAATCATTGATGCATATCAAAAGGAGGAAAGGAAGAAGAACAAAAGAAAAAAGTAGGGAAAGGAAAAAAAAACACAAGGGAAAAGGAAGTTGAGGGTATAATCGTAAATTCACAAGTGATAACGGAAGAAAAGCGTAACGGCATCTAACCCTCGGCCACGGAATTAGATTAGATACTTAAAGCCACAAATCTCTCTATTATTTTTTTTAATTCGAATTTTTATAAATTAATTAAATTTTGTAAGTTAAATGAAAATTGATATTACAGAAAATTTAATTATTAAATTTTATTAGAATTTTTTTTTATCATTTAAGATTGTATTATTTATTAATAATAATTTTTTTAAAAAATTTTTTAGAGAGAATTTGAACGTATTATTTGTTGATTAATGAAATATTTTAAATTTCAGAAAATAATAAATTATTTTTTTATCGAGTAGAGCGTATCTATAACCATCTTCAAATCTCTCTTTGACCGTCGTACTCTCTCTCTCTTTCTCTCTCTCTCTGTGTCTGTGCATCCGCATCATCGCCTTTTCGCCGCTGTTGCAGAGAAACCAAAAAAAAAAAAAAAAGCAACTTTAAAGACGACGAGAGAGAGAGAGAGAGAGGGAGAGAGAGAAAGCGGAGAGAAGAGATTCAGAATTTCAGATTAACGAGCCTTAAACATGCATTAAATTGAGAAAGCAAAGAGTTATCAGATAACTTCTTGTTTCACTGCCTGATTATCCTCGTCTTCCTCCTCTGATTTCGATAATTCATCGTCTTCTTCTTATTTTTCTCTCTCTTTTTATTGAACTTTCTCTTCTCTCTCACGCATAAGCACGCTTTATCTTTTATACATCTGTTCCTGACTTCCTGAAACCTATACATACATGTATACACACTCACACAGGCATATACAGATATATATCGAACTCTGATTCGGACGGCTACGATCTTCTCGTCCCAAGCAATCGTACGGCTAGGGCTTCCCTGTCAGCTCTCTCTATCTACGTAAGTATCCCCACTCCTGAAAAGAAAACTCACTTCGCCTTTTTAGGCCACCTTTTTATTTGTTCTTCTTCTAATCTCCATTTTTCTTTTATTTATTTATTTTTTCGTTGCTCAGTTTCGTTTCTTGGTTTTGTACGCGTATGTTGTTTGAATATCTGAATACGTATCTTAAAAAAAAAATACATACGTATTGTGTTCGTGTGTCTCTCCGTCGTCGTCTTTCTTGCCACTTCTGAATCTCGTTGGTTGTTGATTATACAGATTTTGAATTCTGATTGCAAACTGGTTTTTTTTTATTTTTATTTCTTTTTCGGGAATGGGGAGGGGGTGGGAGCGGTGGTGGGCTTACTGTAATTTAGGCATTTTGTGGTTTACTGCGGGGTGTTTGAGTATTGTCTGATTACATGCAATTATCAAAATTTGGAGTGTGACAATTGATGTGAGATTTTGTTTTCTCTTAATTGTTTTTTCCTCCATTATTAGATAAGGTTACCTTTAAAGTGTATGGTTTGAGTTATAGATTTTGAATTTCGGTCAAAAGATCTGTTCGAAACGGTCGTTTAGCGGCAGTGGCTGTTGCATCAAAGAAGCGGTTCACTGCTGCTTTTTCTACTTCTTTATTTGGTTCAATTTTTTTTTTTTGCTTTCGATCTGCATATGGATTGAGTTTTATGTTTAATTTAAGAAGATAGGTTGTTTAATTCTCTTAGGAGCTAATGTTGCGTCGATAAGGAATTGCTTTACTTCTTTTAGAAGTTCATAGACTTATCTGTTAGTTTGATACTGTGTTTTACAGAATGTTAATTTTTTTGCTTGAATACTGAAAGCTTGGTCTAAATTTTCGGTCAACTTTCTATTACTATTTGTTCTTTCGGAGTTTCAGTTTTTTGGGTGCATTGGTTAGGTGACACTAGTAAGTTCTGTGTTTTATAGAGATGTGAATAATTGGCTTCCCCAAGCCTCTTAAGTTTCACATGGAACTTTCTATCATAAAAGTTTCACATGCAATAGGGCTCTTGAGATTTTTTTTTATTATGATTAATGACCTTAAGAAATTGTTGTTGTCTGGAAGTGATTCTGGACACTCTTGAATTGTCTCTCAAAGAGACTGTAAAAATTTGAATGTTTGTATCCTGTGTTACTTGTAGAAATTGCCTTATTTTGATTGAAATGATGTGCAACTTTAAAATTATGGAGGATAATGTGTAGCATCTTTGTAATTGTTGTGATAATTTCTTGTGGTAGATAGATTAAAGTTCAGAATATATCTTTTTGTGGTGGGAGAGTAAGTGGAATGGATTGTCACATCATATTGACCTGTGATGATATCAACATCAGTTATTGGCACAATTTGTAGGGACCATAGGTTTATGTATGTTGAATTGGTTTGCTTTTGTTGTAAACTAAATTTCACTTGTTTCTATCAGAATGTTTAGAAGTTCTGTTGCTTAAATAGCCTAGCATTTCGTACTCTCCGGCCCAAGCATGTCGCGTAAATCTTGCAATGCCATTGGATTTGTTGTCCATATTCCAACCTATATGTGTGCTGAGCAAGTAAAGTGATCATGTAGAGTGGAGCCATGATAAATTATTGGAGCAATAACCACACTGGTTTTGGTTTGGTTTTAGAATATCATGACCTGCCACCAGCAATCTGATCAAAACTCTAATGATGGCCATGCATAAGAATTTGGAGTAATTATAATCTAATGTTACCAAGGCCCATAAAACGATAGGATCACACATAAGATCAATTGTCTACTAAAGTTAGATGCTGCATGGCACTCAAATAGCAATCTGTGGATTGACTTCTTGAACCTGATTAGAGAAGTAAGAAAACTACCGTTTTTCACATATGCAATTAGGACTGAGAATTACTAAGAACGGTATAAATTCTGGAGTTTTGTCTTTTATAACAATATTCTTAACAGACAGCGCAGGAAGCTTTGTATATATGGATTCTAGTTTAGTTTGTGCTGGATTTCTTTTGTTAGTTGATGACTGGAACTGACTAAGTGCAGGATCCGACGGCGTATAGAGATCACCTTGAGATCATATATAGTGCTGTGAAATTTGCCTCCCGTTTTCTAGATTGAACTTGAGAAACTCATATATGTAGCTTTGATTTTTTAATTATTACTCTCCTTTTTATGCTTAGTGTCTCATTTATTAATGTCTACCTTCAACTTTATTATTGTTTTATTTTTTAAGCTGATTGAATGCACAAAACCAACTGGGATTTCATGAGGACCACTCCACTGGTATTGAAATGTCAAGAGCAATATGTTTTTAGGTTTGTGCAGTATAAGGAGCACATGGTGTTGCAAGAAGGGGCCTGGGCCTGTCTTGATAGGGTTATGGGTCCTATAGTTGAATAAGAATCCTAGAGTTTTTATGAGCAGTCTTAGTCAGGCCATTTCTCTTAGGATATACATACTGGTGTTCCTTGCTTCTCTTTGGGCTAAGTTCTGTGGTTTCTTCTGGGAGGTGTCTTTATCTACTTTGCAAATGGATTAGATGTCACCTTGTCTTGATGCATCATCTTTGCATTCTTTGCTTCTTTCATTTTTTCTTCTACCAGAAGGTGCCATATACTCCCTATCTAGTTTGCGATTAGATTCTCCCCTTCTAATTATGTTTCTTCTTTAAAATATTTTTTCAAGATGGTACGAGTGTTTCTGCAAACACGGACACTGGATTTAAAGTTATATTTTAAACATTGTAACTAATGTTGTAAATTGATCTTGATCTTGTTAGTTTTATCTTCTCGACTTCCCTCTTGCGAAACAGCTGGAAAGTGTAACGATTCTGTAGTTTTAGTGCATTATAGTGATGCTTTAGTTTTCCATTTTTGAGAAACTTTACAGACATGTTTTAGTTGCCTCATCGATCAATGGTATATTCGGACAATATGTTTACCTATGTTATAGTTGTATTTGCATATTGTCCTTTTGGTATTGTGAAAGATATTTTTGTTCTTAAATGGAACATACCTGAGTGTGATGCCTGATTTATTTTTTGCAGTGAATAAGTTCCATATTTTCAATACAAGTAGACCATGGAGCCTAATGGTCATAGGAGAGTCAAAAGGAAGGACCATTTTGGCCAAGAAAATGGTGATGTCAGTTTATCTAGTGTTGGTGATGATCTTGACCCATGGACTGCATGGGCATACCAGCCTCGTACCATTACTTTGTTACTAATTGGTGCATGCTTTCTGATGTGAGTCAGTGGAATTCTATTGGATGTATAATTGTTGTCAATTTTCCTTTCCCGAGTTGATTTTCTTTCTGTGTTGTACCTCAAACCTTTTTCATTTATTTGCAATAAATTTATCATATTTCTCGGATCATGTTTTAATGTCTGTCTTTTTACTGTGTTTTAATGGATTTACTTAACAGTTGGGCAAGTGGAGCCCTTGATCCTGAAAGTAGCACATCTGGTGATCTAGTAACATCTGTCAAAAGGTTTCTTTACATTTACAGATTTCAAATTATTTCCTTTAGCTCTCCATGACTAGATATTGTAAGGCTAATATCAGCCACTTCTTGTAGGGGCGTATGGGCTATGATTGCAGTCTTTCTTGCTTATTGCCTGCTGCAGGCTCCTTCTACGTAAGTTCCTTTACAAACTTTGTTGTAGATACTTTCTACTGCTGTTTGTTTGGACTTCATTTAATTGCATATATGGAGTTTATCCCAAGTTTGCTTTATGGTTTGGAGAGTACTATTATGATTTCCAGGATGGGTTGGTTTGACTTGTCCACTGGATTCAGGTGGACGAGTCTGTCATTGAGCATCATTTCCTGTAATATTAATGTATCTGGTTCATGATATCAACAGTGTAATTATTTTTCTAAATATATGAATGGTGGCAAATAATTGTCTTTCTGAAGCTACCCTTAAGTGCTGGAGCTTGAGATGATTTTCAAAAAATAAGATCCTGTGGCTGGTATTTCGGTTTAGTTGCTGGAAATACTTTTTATGGTTCAACAACAGATTGGTTGGTATCAGAAAATTCTTGTTTTGGACAGGGTCCTTATTAGGCCTCATCCTGCTATTTGGCGCTTAGTTCATGGAATGGCTGTTGTCTACCTGGTTGCACTAACATTTTTGCTTTTCCAGGTCGGTTTATTTTGCAAATGGTTCAATTTTATGTGTCAAATAGCACTCTAAATTAATTGAAACTCTGTCTGTATTTAGGCTTTTGAATATATTTTTTGCCTCTCTGAAACTAAGTAAATGATTTCTGATGATAATCTTCAATTTCTCTTTCCCAGAAGCGTGATGATGCTAGACAATTTATGAAGTTCCTACATCCTGATCTTGGTGTTGGTAATTCTTTTGGCCTTAAAAATCATTATTCTTGCTGATGCAAGCACACAACTGTATAAACTATTGACAGTAAATTCCAGTAACTAACTTATCAAGTTTTCATTCTCATATCAGTTGTCATGGATTCATCAATCAAGTCTATATTTAATATCCTTGACTATTGTATCCTCATTCTATGCAGAACTGCCGGAAAGATCATATGGTGCTGACTGTCGCATTTTTATTCCTGATAATCCAACAAACAGGTTTAAGAATGTTTATGTATGAATTCCTCTTTCACCTGTCTACCTCTGTTGTTTTTTTCCTTTGCATCTTTATTTTTCATCCAGGAGATTACTTTTTTAATTAAAATTCATGTTAGTAAAAGTGTTTGTTATATTAACTACTGATGCCTTAAATATCTTTTTTCCCCTCTCTGAAGGAAACGCTTTTTGATGAATTTGTCCTGCTCATATCTTTGGATGGTGGGGAAAGGCAATTTTAATACGGAATCAGCCCCTTTTATGGGTGCTTTCAGTTGGGTTTGAGTTGTTGGAGGTTTGTTTATGCCCCCCAACTGACTGACTGAATTGAATGAGTAATTACTCTGCCGCTGTAAACTGCTGCTCATCCATGCAACTAACTTAGTTATGCACATTTTTCCAGTTTACTTTCCGCCACATGTTGCCAAACTTCAATGAATGCTGGTGGGACAGCATTATACTTGATATTTTAATATGCAATTGGTTTGGTGAGTTTCCTCAAGCTCCTTCTTTTCCCCCTTTTTAAGTCTTTAGGTTCAATGTTCTAAGCCACTAGATTGAGTTATTAATTTATTAGTGATTGAAGTTGCTTATTCAAGGCCATTTGAAACAAATGTGATACATACTGCTGTCTTATATCTAATGAAGACCTATGGTCTGTCAATAATTACAATCACTTTGAGAAGAAACAACTAGATGCTCAATATGATTTTATAGGAAACTAATTTGCTTTTACATTCAACAAAGCGTTGTTTTTTATCTAGTATTTCCAAGTTTCTTTTCTTTTACAATAAATGAGGCGTCCTTCTGTTCTGTTGGCACTACCTTTTTCTTTTCTGACTGCTTGGTTGTTCTCTGTATATTGACTGGCATGTTTATTCCTTTTAAATTTTTTAAAGGTTTTATTAGAAAAGAGAATACATGACGATTGATGAATTAATGATTACTAGCTAATGACTAGTCATTTTAAATGTTTCTAGGTATTTGGGCTGGAATGCATACCGTTAGATATTTTGATGGAAGGACATATGAGTGGGTTGGTATAAGCCGCCAGCCTAATATTATAGGCAAAGTATGTTTCGAACTCTCTGGTTGTTGGTGAGATACTGAATAGTGGAGCGTTTTGGTTCTATCCTTGAGCATACAATGAGAACTCAGTTTCTGCAAGCTAACTGTTTTTGGATGGAGTTCTTTTTTATGGTTTGACTAATTTAAGAAACTGCCATTGTTTTGTTTGTATCAATATATTCTTGCTATTGTTCAATGAAAGGCCTACTGAAGGTGAAAAAGAAGTCTTATACATTTATACGATGGACTGAGAATGCATGTTTTACTTCCGATGATTTGATTTCAGATTATAGTTTTTCCTTCTCCCATTTTAAATGCTTCCATCTTAAGAAATGCAAGTAATATTTTAGGAGCATATGCATCATGCCTTCTATTTTAATCTTTCTACTGGGAATTCTTCTTTTTCGATAGACTCCATTATAAATGCATAAATCACCAAATGCGGGTACTTGCATTGTTTTCTTTGCTATGGACCTAGATATTACATGTCCTGGGAATTTCTAACGGCAGTGCCCTTTGAACTAGAAATGCATTAAGGTAGATAGAGCCTTTTAACTGATCCTTGTGCTAGTTGGCCTGTGCATATCTTTCCTTTCAATATTTAGTTGCTATTATGTGAAACTGTTCTATAGTCTCATTCAACAAGTGCTGATGACCTATTCTGGGATGTGGCAATGACTTCTTGTTGCCAGGTTAAACGGACCTTAGGACAATTTACACCAGCTCAGTGGGACAAAGATGAGTGGCACCCCCTTCTTGGCCCATGGCGTTTTATACAAGTTCTCAGTCTTTGCATAATCTTTTTGACAGTGGAGCTTAATACATTCTTCCTGAAGTTCTGCCTTTGGATTCCTCCCAGAAATCCTGTGATTGTGTATAGGTTGATATTGTGGTGGCT